AGACGCATTCGCGAACGGGGACAAGCGAGACGGGTAAGGGGACGGACGGAACGGCGAGGGGACAGATTCGTTCTAGCAAAAACAAAGTTACAAAGTATAAAACGATTTCTCGCCAATCGTCGTGCTCGACATAGCTAGCGCGCGCGCCGGCATTAGAAATTCCAGCCGCGGTGTATCCGCTGGTTTCACTGAAAGCCTGATAGATTTTCTGTCGGTCTCTGTTAGGTGCACTGTCAGCGCGTACAGGCGGCGTAACGCAAAAACGTCCGCGACATGCCCGTGGAAGCAGAATCGAGGCAGAAACTACGGGGATCCCGCGTAACGGCTTGGTTTTTTTTCTACGCGTGACGATGCTTCCACGGCATAGTATATCTTGGCCGGCACATAAATTTATCGCGAGGCTGATCAGCGCTAATAAGACCGCAGCAGGCACGCGCTGCCGGCCGGCGTCGCGAGTCGAGCGCCGTTCAACCAGTTTCCCCGATATAAACAGCATTTTTCATCGCTCTTAAAGCGATTCCTCTCGTTCCGGAGTGAGGTCTCACGCCGGACGAAGCCACCTCGACGAGGCGCGCGCACCGTCCAACGGTAGCCCTTTCGGATCTCCGACAACAAACTCGCTCTTCGTGTCGTTCATTCAAATTGCTCGCTCGAACGGGGACCGATCGACCGGCAGAACCACCGCGAGCTTCTGTGTACGTGCGCGTACGTGCAAACGTCGAGCATTCCTTGTAACACCATCCTTCAGCCTCTGCTGCTCGTCTTGATGCCCTTCCGCGGCCGGCGAGCTCGGAGGAGGCGAGAACAGAGCCGCAATTTGCGTAATTGCGATGCCTACCCCATTCACCCCTTCCCACTTCGCTCGGTCAAGACGCGACTCTCTTACAGCCCTCGCGGCTGTCCTCCGATCGTCCCCGTTCTTGCCTCGCAAACGCTTTCGATGGAAATTTCGTAGCTACGCCGGCTCCCTCGCATATGGTTCTGAATATCCTGTACGATACAATGGTTCGCTTTAAACGTACATTTAAACATTCAACGTAATCCTTAATATTATAAATATGCACGATCTTATCTCAAACGGAATAATAAATCGTCAAGGTTGAGTCCGAGCTGGTCTTACGATACTCGTGCTACGCCAATTAGCCGTATTCGCGCCTTCGATGCCTTTGATGGCTAATGCCCCAACCTGACCAGGTGATTTCCTATCGCCATCGATTGTAAATCTTGGGGGCCGGGCAGCATCTTAGCCAGTTTTTCTCGTCGCTTCCCCGTGCATCTTGCTATCTGCATAATGGCACTCCGATTTACAAGTCGATTTCGCTTTCTATGCACGGCCGAACCGTGCCCGCGCCGACACAGTCTAGCTTACGTAAATCACTCCTTTCGCGGGAACGCTCTTTCCCGAGTGTTGATTCTATTCAACGGCGATTCAACTATGTTGTACACTCGACCGGCAAATGTAAATTACAAGCTTAACGAGCGGCTGGCTGCCGCGGAGCGCTCGTTCTAAATCGTAACACGCGAGTTTACTCGCGAAATGATCGAAAAACGAGACACCGAATCAGAGGATCGACCGAACGCCGCGGTTCTACCGAGTCTCTTTCTTTCGAGCGAAACAAAAACGAACTAAAAATTCTCAGATTTTCGTCCAATTTCGTATAACCGATGCAGAATGTTTGCTTCGACCGGAGATGTTATAATCCGGCCAATTGCCTCCACTGTGATCATCGAATGCTTTGCCGGTTTACTTAAGACGAATAAGAAATAGTAACGACTATTAGATGCCACTCTATAAATGATGCAACTGCTGCGTGGCACGCAAAGTTGGAATTAAACTCATCTCGGAGGAAGTTGTGAAATACTACACCTGACTTCGATGCAGATAGAAGAACGTGTACGTAAACTATTATAAAATCGATGCAAAGATTTCTTTCGAAACAAAGTTCACAGACGAGGGAAGAAATTCGATAGAGAATCTACAACTGGTATAAGGGATCGATTTCACAATGAAAATTCCAAGTAGCATGAACGGAAGGATCGGCACGGGGCGTATCCTAATGACGTAATCGTAGTCGTAAGATTATCTAACGATTTCTCGGGGAACGGATAAGCGCGGCGTGTTGCACGCGGCGTGGGTCGCGGGTGCACGCAGAGAATCAATCAAAATTACCGATACATCGTGACACGAAGCTTCCCCGGAACGCCTTTCGTATTTCCCTGCTGGCCGATTATTGAAAATGATTTCTCGGAACGGTCACGAGCATCGGGCCGGCCCTTTGTATATCGCGTGCGTGAACGTGCACGCCGAGCCGAGTCACACACGCGAGCAGAAGGAGGTACTGCAGGCGTGCCCCTCGCATCGTGTGCTGCACCGAGTGCATCCCTGTGTCGGTGCACTCGGGATGCGAGATCAGCAAATCTAAGATCGTGCAACTGGTGTCCAGTGGCGTGTCCGCGGCATACGTTGCCAATGTTCGCCACCGAGGGAAGGAAAGAGAGACAAGGAGAGGGGGAGAGAGAGAAAAAAGGGCAAAGTGAGAGAGATGAGCGGTAGTTGGATGCGAACGAAGAGTGAAGGATGAAGGGGACCGACGGCAAAGAAGCAGGAGGGGTCGAAGGAGGTGGAATGCGCGGTTCTCGAAGGAGGAGCTGTCGGCGGTGAAAAATCACGCACCCCGCCACCACTGCCATGGCCAGCATCTGCTCTACATACCCTGGCTCTCAACCTCCGCTCATCTTTCGCGCAAAACTCGCCGATAATCGTTAGCCTGCACCTGCGCAACCCGCCGCCGCGTCCCGCCGACTTAGTTGCCTGCGCTCGACATCGTTTTTCGATGTTTGCCCGCCGGCTAATCTCATTATGCCTACGTTTAGAGAACTGGGTTCTCAATCGTGCGCGGATTCCATCGAAGAGAACTGGTATCGAGATTACATTAATGCTGGCGATTATTCGTGAAACGGATATCCAGGACGATTCCGATGCCGGTGGAAGCGAAAGGAACGGGTTCGTCCAGGGAATAAACGCGCACGTTGATGGATTAATAACCGGGCCAATTAAGAATCGGGCCGCGTTAGCCTCTCGATACGCAACCCTGCTGCCTGACGGTCTCGCGAACAGTCTTCGGGCAGACGTTAGGGCGTATAAATAACGATTATTACAGGACGTCGCGATTCGTTAGCGTCTTTTTTAGGATCGAACTCGAAGCTCGCGGCTCCGGCGCCCGTAGAGGGGATGAGAAATCGTGCGATTCGGTTCTGTAACAGAACGAATTCATCAATGAGAACCTCGAAGAATCGGCGTGCGGTGTAGCAGAGCAAGATATACGTGCGCTGGCTGGGCTACCGGTCGGTCGGGTCGGGTCGCTGTTCTCCTGTGCTTCATCTCTCCCTTTTGGTCTCTTTTCCCGTACCTCCTTTTGCCCTCCTCTTTTCACCTTCCCGGAGTATCCCGCTCACTCGCCCTTTCCACCTTCCTCTTCCTCTCTTTCTCTCTTGCCGCTACTCACTTCAGAGAGTTGTTGTTCGACTGTTTTATTACTTTTATAAATGCCGCCGCCTCCGATGCTGCCACCACCGCCACCGCCACCGCCGCCGCCGTGGCGGGCATTTCCTTTGTGGGGGCACCACGGCCCATTGTTGCTCGCAGAAAGATGCGAATTTTAATTCGATATTGTCTAATATTATTTATGTATGCACACGCTAGAGAACCTGCCCATTTCAAGGCGTTCCCTTGCACCCTTGCCGCGCTACTGCTTCCTTCCTTTCGACGCGAAACCAAAGTCCTCCGCGCCACGATGAATCGGCCGTTACGCCGCCAAACGCTTTTCACCAAAACCTTACTAACGTCTGCGCGCGCCTCTTTCGCAAGTCCGCGTTTTTTCATCAATTCGTTACATCTGGGAAGGCGTAAAATATCTGACGTTCGTGACTTAAAAAGGTATTCCACAAGGAGGCGCATCTTCGTGAATTATTACAGCGCGATACCCTGTATTAAATCGCAATTGCTCAAAGGCAACTCAAACTTCTTATATCTCAAAAATGGACGAATATTACGCAATATTAGTTGGTACTTGCGCTTACGCGTTATAGATCAGATTAGGTTATCGTCAATTCTCGAGATATACCAGTGTTAGATTATGCGTGACACATTCGACGGAATGTTTTGTTGGCCCATTTAATATATTTTATTTGCGCGCACTTAAAACTATGTATCTACATTAAATAAAATTACCGCGAAATACAACGTGGCTCGCAGCGGACGATTTCCTAACTAAATGATAGCAACGCACGCGTTAAGATTCGTATCGATGCAAACGTTATTGAAGCGTAACGCAGCCAACTGTATATACATTTCTGACTTACGGATAAATTTTTTCCATCGAAGAAATATTTCCATTTCAACTCAGGCGTCCCGACGTCATCCACGATCAACAGGAACACAGCTTCCTGAACTAACGCTAGTCTTAATATCATCCTGGTCCAAAAATCCCTGAAAACATAAAAATGTAGTTTAGTAGTTGTAAATATAGCAATGATATTTCAAATAAGCGATACTTAAAGACACAATAAAATCACAATGTAAACAAGAAAATTTTGTTTCGTGAAGTTGAAGAGGAATCAAGTAGCTTTAACAAATTAGATTAACAATAAAGACCTCGAAGAAGATGACAAATTGCAAAATGAAAATATTTTCCTGTTTCTTTGAGAAACCGTTTAATTTAGCCCAACGCGTTGTCGCTTTGTGGGCTTTGTCAGCGGCTGCTATTCATTATTAAACTTCAAAGCCACAATAGACACTCGAGCGTCGTATCGATTACGCATTAACGCGCACTCGAACAAGGGTAATTCCGTCGTAGGCATTGATTGCTTTTATGGTAAGCTTAATTTAAACGACGTCTAATTACCGCCAAGTGTAGCTTCCTCGACAGAAGAGGAACCGTGAGACTTGCGCGTACGTGGCTGGCTCTACCTGGAAATCAATATCAGTCGACGTCCAGGTCCACTTCGAACTGCAGTCACAACAGAATGCGCAACAGTTGCGTTTAAACGAAAGATAGAGAAAGATGTATCGTCGTTGAGTTTATTGGTTCGACAGCGATTAAAAAGTTCTCGAATTGTCGGTGTTCGACCCGTAGTAGTATACCCACGTGCACCGAATCAAACTCCAACGGGACGACCGCGAGAATGGTTGAACACGAATGTAAAACGTCGGGGATGCTCGAGCTACCCGATACGACCGATGAAAATGCAAAGCCCGTCGAGGAAGAAGGTACCACGAACGAAATTCAGTTTCAACGTTTCTTCAAGTTGTCCGAGAAACGCATCTCGCTAGGCATCAACATCAGCATCCTGATTATACTAACGATATTCGGTGTGCTGCTATCCTTGCCCCTGCGAATGTTGCTCAACACGAATTACTATTGTCGAAATCAAACGGTTAGTGGAAACGACACGACGAAAGCAACGGAAAACGCGACGACCACCGAGATGATAGCGGTCCCGATAAACTATCGGAAACTGAAGCTCTGTCCAAAATTCCAGTACAAGGACTATATCCAATCCATTTTCCGCAACTATTACGATAGGAACTGTTCTTACGCGCGATTCAACGTCACCGACGATTCGATTAAAGATCAAAAAGAGGATACGAACGGAACGATTGGCGACACAGGCGAAACGTCGATGATTACGAAGGACGATATCGGAGAAAACTTGACAGAAAGCACGGAAGAAAGTGGCAAAGATCGTCGAACGAAGTCCGTTCCAGTGGCAGGGCATATTCTCGTGACGATGCTTCTCATTTCAGCGATAGCTGCTCTTATTGAAGTGTTGCGAATACGTTTCGCTAGAGATAAGGTATTACAGCGGCGACCGCACTAGTTTCTTAACTTAATTTTGATCCAGATTGAGGTGTAATATGATCTTTACGAATCCTATTTTTGTGGTTGCAAATCCAATCAGTGTAGATCCGCGCACAAGACGCGTTCGAAAAAACAAAAAATAAAAAAAAAAAAAAAAACGGAGACCCTCGTATAATAACGTGCGGGAAAAAAGGATAGCGCTTTAAAGTCTGTTAGAATATTAATTTTGGTAATACCGTGAACGAAAGTGATACTGCTAGGCGTAGAAATGCTATCATAGGCCAGTATTAGAGACGAATAAAAAAAAAAATAAAATAAAATAAAATACGTACTGTTATTTGTATAGCGTATAGGAACTAATGATAGTATGTACAACTATCGTGTTATATTTTCAATTGAAAGTATTATATTTTTGTAAGAAACGATGTAACAAAGCTTTACACTGATTGATTTCACGTCCGCCAAATAACGAAACAATATTTCATTCTGTGTCGCAAAACCAACAACACGAGTATACGAACATGTGCATATTTTTAAAAACCGCCTAAGGACTCGTCTAAGGCAGGTAATGCCAGTTCAAGAAAAGCTTCCACGGTCGAACTTCCCGTTCGGAGCCGCTTTTTTCCGAGGCAACCGATGAACAGTCAGAGGTCCTTTGAAATGCAAGGCATGCACCGACCCGCTTTACGCCTATTAGGTAGCAAACAATTAGATCAGCTTGAACAGGTTGTAAGTGTATCGTGCGTAAAAGGCTAAATCGAACCGTAGGTGCGAGACCACCGCCGCTTATACGCCGCTCGTCATTCCCAACGCAACCGTCTAAGCAAAACATTGTTTCGGTGACCGGCACTCCGAATAATCGGATGTCACGACGCCAATCAGCCGAGTCCGATGAAGAAATCGGAGTTCTCATTAATGCTCTCCATCACCGCACACGGCTGATTCGACGACACTAAGGTAACGCGTTTAGAATTCAAACGAATCTGACTCAGCCTACACTAGAATCACTATCAGGTCGTTTTAGTTATTTTATCATTACCTTTTAACTTAAGATCCCACGTTAGAACCTGAACAATTCTACTCTACGATTCTTAATCTTTTATTTATCCTGTTTATAGCTTCTGAATCTAAGTCGTGTCCTTTTAGGAATCTGATGATTAGACAGCAGTTTTCATGCATACATACGTATTAGCACGTGTCATAACCGTATAAAAGTTACAGTCATGTTGTAGCTCTCTATTCTATTTTCTATTCAAGGTAGCTCTCTAATAATATCAACAGAATCACTATAATAGGTACAAAATCGACTTGACGTCCAAGGCTATTTTCTCTACTACAAGACACTGAGAGAGAAAACATGTACCTGAGAATGTATGAAAAAAGACACATAGAATAATAGAAGTAAACTTCAACTTTAATTGTCTATTGTCTATTTTATACAGACTAATATGCTGTAGTTTATATAGTATTCTTGCTATAAAGTTATACTATAATTAAAAGCGAATCTTACAATACATAATACTATACATAGCTCCAAATTAAATACTATATAAACTCCTGCTTTTACTTTTCTAATCAATCAACCGAGTAATTAATAATCTGTGATTGATAACCAATGAACCGTTGCATGAACAAGGGTGCCTAAAATAGATGATAACTATAAAACTCACGTCGATATTTGTGCGTCATGAAACCCCTGCTGAAGGTCGAACGCAGGTAAACGTTTCAGTAATTTTCTAAAAGGACATTACTTATATTCAAAAGTTTCCTGCACTACCACATGTGAACATTTCATAAAACTCCAAAAATTCTGAAAAATCGTCTCGAGTAACTAAAACTATTCGAATAATCGTGTTCAATCTGGAAAGAAAAATATATCTCTTTACGTTTGCTAATTATAATATTTACCTACGTTGCCCTTATAGATTGATGGAAAACAGTACTAACTAAACTTTTTACATTCGTTCCAGTAAGGCCAATCAACTGAATTTTTTGAAACTTCATTCGCGTTAACACTAACAGGGTACGTGTCTCAAACTGCATGGTAGGTTAATAAAATATATTATGTACTCTCACGACAAACGTTTCTCGAACAATAATACATGCTTGATAATATTTATTAGGTCTTACGCATCGCACAACGGTCATGTTCACGACAATTTTTAAACAACTCTTATTACTTTGTGAACCCACCATCCAAAAGGACTTCTATGAACAAAAGCTGTTTCTTCCAGTTCGTATTTTACAACTCCTCAACTTACTAGCAACTTTGCATCAATAATGAACCTTCCCGCTGCTAAGCTACGCAACAAATTTGCTCACTGTTCATCACAGTTTTACTCATTTTTATTTCCCAAGAGGTAATTTCTTACGTACCGTTTTTACCGTTATTTTTATTCTATGCAGGGTGTGTCACGTAATTGAGGACGAGTCGTATCTTCTGTTTGATCGAAAATAGATAACAGTGTTTAAATGCGCTTTGCAGTTAATCTTTGTATTTGTATCGTTCGTTTTACGAAAAAAATTAGGTCAGAGGAAAATACGCCTTCCCATATTCAGACAACTTCAACGTGCAGCGTCTGTTTCTACTTTTGATCAGACTAGGGATCGAACCACGCGTTGCGTGACTCGTTTTGCATTACAGTGAAATTAAAAATAAAGAATTAGGAGATATAATAGTATGTTATAATAATACTCACAAAAATTGATGAAAGAATCAGCCAATCAGCTCTATTGAAGTAGTGGGAGATTTCCTGTTCCAATATTACTAATGACTTGGCCTTTATTCTTCAAAATTCTGTATCAATACAACAAATATTATTAGTACTGAGAAATTTTTAATATTGAAGGTTTTTACTCTTATATTGATTAATGTTAGATTAATGAAATTTTACATTTTTTAAATACGAAAAGCAATAATCAAACAGAATATTTTATTTATAATAGCGTCATATTAATCTTATGGAAAATGACTGATAAAAACGATATTATGTGCTTACATTATGCGATCCTGTTTTTAGACCATCCAGTATATCTTTCTGCTCGCGTGACTAATTTACATCATTGTCCTATTCCTTTTTTTCAGGTGATGCGACTGTAGAACATGTTTATGTTAATAGACGATAAACTGTATTCAAAAATGATACAACATACAACATACAAATGATTGAAAGTACTCAAAGATGAATGTATTTTTGAAAGTGTTATAAATTATTTAAAGCGTATTTTCTTAAAAATACTCCTATCTCTCTTCGGCACTTCTGTAATTTTCATCGTTTCTCACGTGATATGTAAAATGTTAATTATAACTTGTGAAATATATACATATGTACATATATTGGTGTTGAGTAAATACATTCTATTATTCTCTATTACCTATTATTACATATTTAAATTAAATGTTTATATATGTGACAATAATATATGAAAATATATTATCATTATCATTATACATATAATTATTCAAACTTTTTTATACTAAGATTTGACCACATCGTGTGCGGAAATCATGCAGTCGTATTTAATAAGTATGTTTGTCTAACGCCCATAGGCGTTTACCGCACGCAATGCACTGCTCGAGAGCTTATATACTTCGACGATATAAAATTAAACGTAATATAAAAACTGATATTCACACCCAGACATAATAAGAAATAGTTTTATACAATCAACTATTGAAAATCATAATATTATTTTATGAATAATACGTAAGGTGTTAAAATAGTACGTTTAATTTTGTTACTTTCGATCTGATTGTATACCACAATAATACTTACAAAGAATAACTTTAAGAAGTGTCACATGATACTATATTTCAAAGAATATCATGATATAACATTATCGTTTACTCGTTCAATTTGAGTAGAAAGTACATTAGGAGAAGGAACGAACATGTTTCAAATTTCATTCGTCTTATGGTTCTAATATAAAATTCCATCTCATTAAATCATTTCGCGTATCTAAAGACTGTTTCACAATTCTTTTAAATGCAATTTCTTTCTTTTAAATTCGCAACATATCCTCATGCCTCCGTCTGCATAATGGAATGACCGTTTAAGACAGGGGTAATGAATTATGGGTCACGTGGCCAGGATGGCCGCGAAACGATTTGATTGGCACGCGACAAAATTCAAAGTGAAATTCATTTGTCGTGCCAAATTTAAAATAGCGTATCAATTTTAAATCAATATAAATTAAAACTATTTATCAATAAATGCATAAGTCTCCCAAACGAATAATATGCGTGATCAAGCATTAAATAATAATGCACATACGTCGATGTGCGATATGTTTCTTCGAATTACAAAATCTAGTAACATTGAAAACCGCCAATTACATACCTTCTGTATCATGCAATTGTTTTCACACTATTTTAATAAATCAAATTAAGAAAATATTATGAAAGGAAGATATTCATTACTTTCTAAGAAAATTTAAAGAAACACAATTATATAAATGCGGTGATCAGAGTATTTGGCATAATATAGAATTTCTTTGTAGTATTAATTTTACTAGTCAACATTTTTCACGCCCACAGCACATTTCTTTTTATTAATTTTTTATATCTGATCACAAGAAGGGATACCACCCCTAAGTTAAACGGTGTACACTAGTGATTTTCGTGTCCTTGCCATTGGCATTACTGCTCGACGCGCGAAGTAGCAGATGTCGCCACCTTCAAGGCCGTCATACAACCTTACACGGGTGAAACGCGCAGAAAAGTGGAATCATGAATTAAAGGTATCTTAATGAACGGGCCAGCTCGCGTATCGTGATAAAATATTGTTAGAGGTGTTGTATCGTTCGTATTTTTAAACGTTCGGATCGTGCAGTGGCGTGAAAAAGGTGTATATCTGTGACGAAGTGTTTCGCTTGTTGCACAGTTGCCAAGGCGACTAAAGTACGTGCGTGCGTGTGCGTGTCGGAAAGTGTGCTATGAAAAGAGAACGATCGTCAGAACGGCAATTCTACGGCTACCTATGTACTGACGGCAACTCGATGCTTCAAAAACGAACAGCCTGAAGACGGGACTATTATGGACTATCCGGTTTTGGGCCACTACGACCTGACCGTAGAGGCCACGGTTGAGAGCGGTGGTGACGAACAAGAACTCCTCTGTGAGTCCTTTCTTATATTCCCTAATATTCTTTCTTTCTCCTAAACGCGCGAAAAGCTCCCCATTGTGTCAAAGAGCAATCTATTCGAACGAAGATTCGAAGACTAAGAAAGGCGCGAAACCTCTCTGCTCCGTGACACTCGTTGCTCGAATCATGGTGCGCGATCTGGCGTCCTACTGCCAGAGGTGAATAAAATTTGAAACAAGGTTCTCAAATATTATTTTACTTAGAGAACGTTAAAGCAAACGCATATAAAATAGTAATTCAAATACAACAAGAAAACTTGATGAGTAATATAATTATAATAGGTTAAAAAATACAGTTTAGAAAGCTGTATGATATTTTCCAGATACCATACAAAATATTATTTTTTTTAATGGTCTGTAAAAGGCCTACACCAAATTCACCTTATACTTTGAAATAAAGGATTTATAGAATATTTTTGACAAAGTGTAAAGCTAAACTTTGCAAACTGCATGAACGTATGCAAGAATTGTACAATAAAATGTGAACACAAATTTAGTCCCGCTGTAATCTCTAATATATTATTCTTCCTTATACTTTCTCTTTATTTTCCACTATAATAGATCTAAAATATTTAAAATATCCCAAGATTCTTAATAAAATACTTCTCATTCAAATAACATTTCTATTTCTCAAATATTTACTTTGACAATTCTATTATTCTTCTATCTGACATTTTAATAAGTTATAGTCTTATTACTCAGTAGTATTATTCCATCACTTTCCATTGTTTTCAAACATTAATGTATAGTTTCAATCGACTGTTCAACTTTAAATAAACCTAAAAAATATTCTTAATTTGATATGGATGATAAATCTGGTGGTACTTTACTACTTTAAATGCTAAATTTAGTGCCGTACTTCCATTAAAGATATAACAGCTCTTGTAGGCAATGATAAGAAAAATTATTAACAATGATACTAACCTATATTTAATATTAGCTAATGTTATCACAAGTTGTGTTAAATTATATGATCAATGCTAAGTAAATCGAGAATTTCCACCGTCAATGTTAACATATTTCATTACAGGGGAAGATTCAAGTTATGTCTTATCCAATGAGGAATATGTACCTGCAGCTGAGCAATTTGGAGAAGATTTTGCCGGGGCTGAGTTTCATGAAACTCGCACTTTACTTGTTGATGGGGGGGATAGATTTGGAGTTTCCACTGCCACTTTCGATACTGTCGAAGAACTTATGTGGATGGGGAATCAAGGGGTATAATAGTAGTTTTTGTTATTATAGGTACAACTAGATACCTGTTTTGTTATCTTTGTCGTTTACTTTCTGTGATTTAAATTGTTGCTTCCTTTATGTTCGTACAGTGATATGTATTTATCAGAATCTATAAGGCTAGAAATGGAGTTTAATAAGTTTACTATTTAAATAGTTAGAGACAAGGCAACGCATTGATCGGAAACAATGTCTTATAGGGTCACGTAACATCTTATTATGGACCTGGGTTACAAAAATATACTTCCTTTCAAGTGCATGCTACGCAAGAAGTACGACATATTCATCCATTAGATGAGGGTATTTTAATCCTAACGCAAAGTTTATTAAGATGTCAATTACGGAGGGGCATACCAATATTTACACATATGTACGTTTATCTTATAATATACATATATATATATATATATATGTGTGCGTATACATACACAGTAGTGCCCACGTAAGTGACCGTATTTTTGCCCACTTAAGTGACCCCGGCCGGTCCCGAGCGTGGTCACTTATGTGGGCACTACTGTATATTATTATGGGTTCCATGTAAAAATAAATATTATAGGTCACCAAATATGATGGATATGCAATGCATGCTTCAAATTTCACCAACAAGGTTACTTATGGGAGGGCATCAGGAAAAAATAATTGATTTTAATCTGACCAGAGGAAAAGAGACTGGATTAGTGAGTTTCTATACATGTTGGTAGGACAATATAATAATTACGTTATGAGCATGTATTAGTACTCTCTTGCGCTTATAGGTAAATGTAGGAGAAAGTGGTTGTGCAATTTTAAGACAGCATAATAGACTTATATGTGCTGGTAATCCTGCAGGGAGAATTGATCTCAGAGATCCGAATACACTATCGATAGAACATACTTTTGATACCCATAGTGGTTCTCTCAGTGATTTTGATGTTCAAGGAAATTACCTTGTTACCTGTGGTTTTAGTAACAGGTGAGATTCAAAATAATCAGATGTATTAATAATTTATTAAAATTCATTAAAGTTGTCTTTAAAGTTATATTTCTTCCTAAATCTACCTGTGGATTTAGTCGTCAAGGTCTTTCGGTCGATCGATTCTTAATGGCATACGACTTAAGGCAAATGAGAGCACTAAGTCCTGTCACAACTCTAGTATACCCCCTTTTATTGAAGTTCCTACCTAGTTATTCAAGCCGTTTAGCGGTCGTATCACCACTGGGCCAAATGCAACTTCTTGATACTATCTATGCTAATGTACAACCACCTATGACATGCTTGTATCAGGTAAATGTTGCATGTATGCTGCATTCTTAGAAACAATCTTGTATTACATTGTGTGCACACCAATTTTTTTATATCGGTAGGTTGCTACTGGTGGTGCTATGATATTATCATTTGAAGTATCCTCTACATCTCAATGCCTTTGCTTTGGAGATTCAGCAGGTTCTATACATCTTATGTCTACGAATACACCGGAACCTCAGTTTAATACATTCTCTCGGTTCGTAGACATATTGATAAAATTAGAAATTATCCATTACTTATACAGGTATCCCTCGAGTTACGTGGTTAATTGGTTCCGCGTAAGTCGAGACTCAAAATTAGTCTCTGAAATATTCTGAAATATATACAAACTATTGTGAAATACATATTGCGAAATACCTATTATCTTTTTTATTTAAAACATTCATCTATAATTACATATATATATATATATATTCTCTTTAAACAAAATTGCTCCAAAACCGCGTAACTCGAGGGATACCTGTAGCTAGAAGGATAATAAAAAGAATGTATTGCTCTCATTTATTTAGGCCAACAGAATTCGCTGACCCTGTTGAATCAGTTCAATCTGTATCATTCGATGATGATATTACACCTCTAAGTACAATACCTATTGTTTATACAGGACATCCATTATTAAGTGATTGGCCGGAAGAATATTTAAAAAAAGTCTATAGGTAAGTAATTCTTATCAATAAGTAATAAACATTTATTGATGCATAGATAGAATAAAAGGTCATATAAACATAAATTTACACATTTAATGTACAATTATATACAAATATACACAGAGTGTAATTTAATGTATCATTGTTTTTAAATGTTAAATCAATTGTTGAAATTTTTTTATAAATTAAATTACACCCTGTACGTCCAAGAAATTGGAAACAAATAAATTATGTTCACAGGAAAACACCATTGATTGATCCCGAGATTCTGCGCACAATGAAAATGCAAGGAACAATAGGCTATGCACCAAATCCTCAGGCGTTTCGCAGAAATCAAGTGAGGAAACAATATTCTCCCACTCCTCTACAGTATTCTTCTCCAATTCTAAAAACCAAACTTCCTATCCTTCCATCCTACAAATATTTCCCATGATTTCCAATTACAACTATGAAAAATTAATTATGTTATTTTTTAATGTTTAAACCCCCCTGTTGTTTTAATTACGTCACAAAGGAAGTGACAAAACACAATGAATTATCACTGTTAAAAGTTGGGAATTTCCCCTTTTATCTTTAAATTTTAATAGTCTAAGTTGTTTCTGAAGAAATTTTTTTTTTTTCTTTTTTTTTTTTTAATATGGAATGTATAGTTATATTTGGTTGTTTTTATACATTCCGTATATATTGTCGCACAAGGTATGTATATCATTAATTGAATCAGTTATACAAGACAATATTAATTATATTGAATACCTAAAAAATATACTCAAGAGCAATGTGACAAACAGTCAAGCTCAATATGATTAAAGCTTTTAATTTTGTAGGAAAACCAAAATAATACGTGATTAAGACTGATAACGTCTCGTGATAAATATTGTAGTCCGTGAACAAAGTTTAAAAAACGTGATATATTTTCATAAGCTAGATCACAGTATTCTAATAATTTTCTGTGCAATAATGTACAAGAGAAAAAGACCTAAGTGGGACACTGAAAACATACTCATACAATGTTGAAATGTTCTTTCCCAATTTTAGTTAATATATTCTTTCGTTAAAATACTTGGCCATAATGTTATCGTTGTTAAAAAAAGAAAAATATTATTAGAAGTCTATATAAGCATGTTTACCTGATCTCAATTCTATCACTAAAATGATAAAAAACATAAATTTGTAAGTTCTTATTATAAAATGTATTTTTAGTTACCCCTTATTTTTGTGGGTCATACAATCTTTCCTGAAGTACTTTTGCATGCGTGATTTTGAATATGTTATTGAGGAGCAGTGATTGGTATTGTTTTAATTTCTTCCAGAAGAGAATTCGTTAATTAACACTATATCTATATAAATATCAACAATGTGCCAATTTAGAGAGAAAAAATATGTGTGCTTCAAAAATGTTGTTCATATAGATACATTGTATAGTTTATACTATAGTTATACTACTTGAAAAAGAAAAGAAAATACGTACCATATTTTGAAATTTTTAATTCCTGTATGTTGAATATCTCAAATGTTGAAAACTAAAAAGAAATAAATATATGTAATTATTCCCTTGAAAATACACAGTTAAACAATTTTCGTATGGCTGGTAAAAGGTTGAAGTAAAAATCGAGTATTACGATTTTAAACTATTAAGAACTGTGAAAAATGAGAAACAATGGTATTTACTAAAGTTCCAAAAGAAAATATCAATGTTTTAAAAGTATGGTTCTGTATTTTACGAATCAGCGTAAAAAGTACTACTGCCTTTACACTTGCCTCAAGCACAATGTGTTTGTAATTGATGCATTTTATTAGTTCCAATTTAATAATTTATACTCAATAATCTTCGTATGCTTAATGTTTAAAGAATATGTTTCTCAAAGAATGTATAATAGAAATTGTATTTGAGTGAAATAAAGATTATAAGACATACGTGTAAGCCTAACTTATTGGCTCGGTCCCACGCGTGTTTAATAGGTATTATTTATTTTTTCACGGTCCAAATTACATCTAAGATGTAATGATGCAATGGTACACCGCATTGTATAATATTTACTACAAAAAGATTACCCGTGCATAGTATAATTCACGTACAGACCATCCCAGAAAGAAAAACGAAAAATATCCGACTGATTGAGAAAAAAAAAATAAATAATACCTCTTTTGCAGATACCTTACAATTTGGAAAAACGACGTGGTGTAGTCGCAAAGCTTTTCGCGGGGGACTCACGGTCTAAAACAGATGACGGTACCTTTGTGGCCATACCAAAACGTTATCGTAAAATCGAGGTGAAATATTCACGTCTCGGTTATGACGAGTTCGATTTTGATCAATATAATCGTACCAGCTTCTGCGGCTTGGAAGCCACACTTCCCAACAGTTATTGTAATGCTATGTTGCAGGTAAGTGCAGTAATTAGAATAACGAATCGTAGAGGGATCCTCTATTTCTTTGTCAAAATTCCATGTTTTCCAGTTACTTTACTATTGCGAACCTGTAAGGATAGCATTGCTCTCTCACTCGTGCCAAAGAGAATTCTGCCTTTCTTGTGAACTAGGATTCTTGTTTCACATGTTGGACACATCGCGGGGATTGCCTTGCCAGGCTGCTAATTTCCTTCGAGCTTTTAGAACGGTGCCGGAAGCGGCAGCCTTGGGACTCATACTGAGCGATCTACATCCGGAAGCTAAAAGAAAAACCAATTTGATTAGACTGATACAAGTACGATCGATTGCTATCATAAGTATTGATTAAAAAATTAAAATACATTGCTTAAAATAATGGAGCATCGCCTGATTGTGTCTTTCGATTGAGTTACTTGATACCTCAACACCTTATAATTATGAAAATAATAAATACGGTTTATTGTAAACATCTCAACACATTGACTGCCATGCTACTTTTATAAATAGAAATAAATTGAATAAGTATTTATAAAAATATAGAATAAATTCAATAAAATATTACGAAAACAATAGACCAGACTTATTGGAAAACAAAATTATTCTATATAAATTTACTTTACGTTTGCAGGTTCAGAGCATACATTATTTTTCGTTGTAATATAGAACGGGCGTGTAATCGTTGCGCGTTATGTTTACTTTTGTAATAGATGCTTTTGAACGCGAGGTCGTAGCTTGGATTTGAAGAGATTAAGATTAGATTACCAAGCATTGAATACACATGAGGTACCATGACTAAATGTAATCAATTGTTTTGTTTAAAAATACATACGCCCAGAAAGTCTGGTGGAACTTATGCACGAATTTATCATAGCAATCAACGTGTTAAATGTTCTAATATGCTACATGCCCTTAATATTTCGCTCATTCTTTTAAGTTAATCGAAAATACAGAGGCCTAGTTTTTTATTTAAAAAGAATATATGTTTAATTTAGTTTTGCTAAAGCGACGCTTTATATAGAAGTATATTAATAAGGATATGTTAATATGTATAGATCTCTTTAAATTTCCTTTCAGAGTTGGAACAGATTTATTCTGCATCAAATTCATTACGAAATATTGGAAACGAGAAAACGACAGCAAGAGGAAGAAGAAGCTGCTCGCCTTAAGTCAGGTCCCAAATGTCCGCCATTCGTTTATAATGAACAAGACTTTCCTAGTATTTTGCAGGACATTGGTTCTAGATATAGAAGTCACGACGAAGAGAGGAAAAAGAGGAGGAAGCAAGATGAGGATGGTAAATATATGTGGATCACATCGAAAGGTAAACACAATTTATGTGTAACCTTCACATTGGGCACTCTTTGTGTTTATTTTTCATTTTGTATCCGATCGTATATTTGCACTTACTCGGTGATTGCGGCGATATATCCAAAGAATATTAAATCCAATTTCTTCATTTCTTCTAGTCTAGCATTTTTTTCAAACATGAATATTATTTTATCTGAAAAGAAACGTGCTTTCGTTCCCGTATTCTTAGGATACTGCAGCTATCACTCTTTTTTTGTTTTTGATTTTGCTACATTTGTAAATAAAGCTTCCCCGTTGCTTGCTGGACCGTATTTTTATGCATTACATATAATTCCATCTTTTTTTTTCTTTTACAAGAAAGAAGACATTACTTTCCGCGAGTGCATGTCTTATTTATACAAAATAATTTTATGTCTCTTTGAACAGGGTAGTATGTATAGTATAATCAGTACAAATATGCTCACCGTTTTTAATGTTAGGAAAAAGTTCTCGAAGAAACGATCGATTTGTTTTAAAGAGGATCTATAGTTTCGGTGTTATTATTGTTTTTAAAATTTCCAATTCTAAAGTCATTCGCGTGCTTCATTACATCTTTAAAAAAAATTTATTTTCTTAAATTAAACGACTTCTCTGATAGCTTTTTCTATCATAAAAAACAGGGAATATTTGAGGTGATTGTGTTGTGTGGATTACCCTATACAATTGAGTTGTTTTGAACACAATTAACATTTATCGTAGGTGATGAAAATTACATTATTTTTTTAAAACATTTACTAGTGGATTGCTGATACAAATAACATTCCCCATAAATATAACTTACTTATCAAGATAATGCTGAATAGATCCTCGATAAAGAATATTATTTTTTACACATTTTTATCATTGGCATGTAGTTGAGTATTATTAAAATTAATTTATTCAGATTTTAAATAAGTATTTATTATGGGTAGATAAGAACAACAAAAAGTCTATTGAAGAAAATGAGGTGCGAGACGAAGAGACAGAGATCAGTCGTCTGTTTGGGTCCGAACAAATGCATATACATCGCTGTCTCAAATGTGGGCAAGAAGCTACAAAACATTCCATCATGTTGCTGTGTAACTTAGTTTATCCAGAGTTATTGCACCCTTGTAAGCTACTCTTCAAGCTAACACCGTATTCCATGTGCATCGTATATCTTCCTCGGATCTTAAACGAACGAATTTTACCTTTTCTAGCTGAGGAGGTTCCGTTTACAAGTGTTCTTGCCCGCAGTTTAAGACCCGAGAAAATTACACCTGCATGGTGTGACAATTGTCAAAAATTTACACCCACTCTCCAATCTCGACAATTGACTAAATTACCTCAAATATTGGCTCTGAACTGTGGTTTAGATACACAGCAGGTACATTAAGCACGAACTTATACATACATCCTATAGTACAAAGTCTAGTGGTTTTACCAGGAGCAGTCATAAAAATGTATAAAATTCTTTCTAAAGAATTTATTAATTAATCCATACATTTCTAATTCAGAATTTAGATTACCCGAAGGCAGCACATCTTGTGCATTGTCACGAAATGGCAGCTTTATCGTAGTAACGAATATATATAATAATAATATTTTATTGTACTTGGTGCAAGTTTACATATTATCGTTCTGTTCTCGTTTGGAAACATCAACAATAAATGATACTATATACGATTTTTTTTTAATACATTACGTCGAGAGATCACACTGTTAAATTAAATGGGTGACAACAGTTGCGGGCACGCTATTTTATCTCTTATCATAACCGATATGGAAGATTTAGGTTTCAGACTCTGGGAAACTAATGACTCGCATAATTTATTCTCGTACATTTTAATCACAGGCATTAATTTATGACTGCACCCTGTAGACTGCAGCAATATAAAATTTAATAACTTCGAGGTTTTTTAATCGAGCATCAATTTTAGGACAAAGCATTCTGGCAAGCCCAGATGGACATAGTCGTTCAAAAAGTATTAAGTGGGAAAGAAAGTAGTCCATCTTCGAGCCCCGTTCCAATCACCGTAAAACCTTGTCGATACGGTAACAATTGCACTCGAGTTGGTTGTAGATTCAGACACATTGGTAGAGATTCAGGTAATTCGATAGACCTTACAAATTGTTATGCTATAATCAGACGATATAGCATACATTTCCATATTTTATTTTTGTGTGTGTTTTTTTTTATAGAAAATGTATCAACATCGCCCGTTACACCTCCTATGACGACTACGTCTGTTGCAACGCCGCCTAGTCATTTGTACTATTCACATTCGTGGATTCCACACAATATTGAAATTTCTCTGAACAGTAACGGTGAACTGTTCGTGGAAAAAATTAATAGTTCAAAGAGTATTTCTACCGAAAGTAGTAAGCCTAGCGAAGAGATCATAGTAGAAAATGGTCAGGGCGATGGCAAGGCGCAAGGAGATTCGGAAAGTCCTGGAACAGATTCCGAAGGAAAAGAGCCAGAGAATCACGTCACCGGACCGGATAATGGGGATGGAGAAAACGCGAATGCAACCGACGAAGGTCCAAATAAAATAAGTAAAATGCAATATAGCCTTAGTGCCGTTGTTTGTTACATCAATGACAAAAGCAACGAAGACAGGAGGAACATTGTTGCGTTGCTACGGGTCGGACCACATTATCATGAAAGATCGACTGGCAGCGCGGTTTCGCAGTGGTATATTTTGAACGACTTTTGGTAAGTGATAAGATTTGCTTTATCTTTCGAAAGATTCATAAATATTATGAAGATAATGAATTCTATAATTTAAATAACGACTGTAGGTCAAAGTAATATCACTTTGAGTACTTACTCCCGTCGAGATTTTGGACACTTCTTTTGCAATGTTCCCATAATACTCTAACGACTTTGTTACACTTGCTGTTAGGTATCACAAAAGGATTGTCGCGCTTCGTTCGCATCATTTCACGCTTCAGTAGAAACAAATACGTGCATACGTGTCGGTTATAATCACAACACTGATGAACAGAAACTAATAAGCTACAGAACACCACAAACAGCACTTTGATAAAGCTGAATCGTTTGGCGAATCAATAAATAAAAGTGACAGGAAAATATCCCCAATGATTAATGTCATTGACAAGAAGCGGGTTCTCGATATCTATTGATCGTATTATAAGGAATTTTTATTACGAAGGATCACTGTTGATTCTTATCTAAGACCTTGCACCGGCCATATTCCTTATACATAACAATGGCAGATATAGCCGCCTGACTAGACCCGCATGAATACTATTTCTTTCCCAATATACGAAACTAACATTACTCGTAAAACACTTGTTTTGGAAGACAATAATGGATGACGTGCGTTCGAAGAATCTTCCCTTTTGTCTTTAATGCGATGATTTTTTGGGATTATGTAAATGATATGTAAACATTTAGACTTCGAAATAGGTCTAAAATTGGTATGTTTTGGTACAGCATATCAGCGGTAACACCACACGAGGCAGTTTGGTTCAATCTCGATTGGAAAGTTCCGTGTGTTCTTCACTATACGGCTGTGCCAGCACCCGAACCAGCACCTTTTGTCAGTCCCCTTACGTACGACGTTTTCGGAGAAGACAAATGCATAGCTCGCAGTGGAGGAACTAGAGGGATCACGTTTACCCCCCTAACATCCGACGAAATGCCGAAAAAAGGTCGAACGAAAAGAATGAATTCTGAAGAAGAAAGATTTCTTCCGGTACGATGAAATAATGATAATTGCGAACAAAATTACAGGGGAATTGGTAGGAATCGATGCAGAATTCGTTACTTTGAATCAAGAAGAGTCTGAGCTTCGAAGCGATGGGAAAATGTCCACTATAAAACCGAGTCATATGTCTGTTGCACGCATCACTTGCATACGCGGGTGTGTACAATTATTGTTCAGTAATTGGAGCGCAGCGATATCTCGTATTTATCAATCCCTGTTAATATAAAATTTCACCTAGCCTTCGTTTCCTTCATTTGGATCTTATATTCTACACCAACACCTTCCACTATCGCCTAATTTCTTACATCGTGGGAAAACTATTAGTCTTTTCTTGGAGTAGGCTGAGAAACTGGGTTTATTTAATCTGGTCTTGTTCGATACTCGACTAAATTTTTAACTGACGGAGATAATTGAGAATAAATCTGTATTTTTGTGGTTGTAGCTGTTTATCGGTCATAAGCAACACTACGTGTAAGCATCTTCCCATCCTTCCATGGTTTCTATCCTTTCTTTCAATTTCATATAATCGCCAAAGGGATATTTCTAAAAATGTAATACTTTGTGTTTCATGTCGTTAATAGTTTCATTGTGTTAAATAGGCAAGGTCCTTTGGAAGGTACTCCTTTCATAGACGATTACATAAGCACTCAAGAGCAAGTGGTCGATTACCTGACAAAGTTCAGTGGAATTCAACCTGGTGATCTGGATGCTAATTTTAGCAGTAAACATTTGACTACGCTCAAGTCAACTTATCAAAAGTTACGGTTCTTGGTTGACAATGGAATAATATTCGTGGGTCATGGCCTAAAGAATGACTTTAGGTGACGAACTATTTTACAAAATCGATCAAATTTCGTGGGAAACGTGCGAGACTGGTAGTTAATCGTATCGTCAATTGTTGCAGGGTAATAAATTTAGTTGTGCCACCGGAACAGATTGTAGATACAGTATTGCTCTTTCATTTGCCCCATCATCGCATGGTATCGTTACGTTTTTTAACGTGGCACTTTTTGGGTAAAAAGATTCAATCCGAAACACACGATTCGACGGAGGATGCTCGCGCTGCGCTCGAATTGTATCGCAAATACAAGGAATTAGAAGGTTCTGGGAAGTTGGCCGAGTCTTTGAAAGAGCTTTACCATGTTGGCAGTCAATTACAGTGGAAAGTAAGGGCGACAAGTAATCCTATTCTAAGAAATGCGAGGTACCTTCGTCGGTTTCTATTTCCAATAACTTTCTATCTACCTCTAGGTTCCGGACAGCTGATACGAGGACGATTCTCACGAAGAAGTACACGATTTAGTTACATCGGGCAACGAGGGTGAAGCTTAAGCGATGGTTTCGAAGTATAGTGTAAATACTTTGACGATAGTGTTTCGAAAGACATCACCTGACGTATCGATAATTCGTCGATACCTGGAGTTTTCAATTTACGATCGAATTATGCACTTTTTTTTTAAGATACGTCTAATTATGCTTAGGTGGGAGAGAAGAGGCCGTGTCTGAGCATCGAGTGTGGCGATGATGTCGTAAAGGTTAAGATTACGGGTACAATTACATTGTCAATCATTTAGTATTTTTTTTCTTCTACGATATTTATTCGTTAGACCGTTCGTTACATCCGTCGCGTGGAGTATAATCGTAATCGAATCGTCGTATGTGAATCAAATTTTAATTAGTTTCCATATAATCGATCATTGTAAATTATTAATGCAACCGAAGGTAAGAAATTCTTGTTGATCGTGAGTTTAGGAAGAGTAATCGTGTAAGCCACGCAATGGCGATTTGTACATATTGTCCGATAGCACATTAGCGTTTTGAAGAGCAGTATCGATCCCTCACTGCCCGACCATTTATTGATATTTATTTTAATTTCTCTATATATTCCAAACCGGAAGATAACACAAATCCATCCTGCTCGGTAACAGTACTACGATACGTATATATAATTGATAGTTGGTATTTAGCAATAATTCTGAATGGGAAATCTGTACGAAGGTAATGTTTCACACTTTCCTTTTATACGTATCTTTTCTAATGTATTAACTTTTGTACCATTTTATCTAACGGTAGCTCGCAATGCGGGGGAAAAAACAAATTTTTATAAGATTTAACTTCGTCCTAACAGATTTCAGTTTTCGGCCAATTACCACAGGCCGTTTTCAATTGATTCTAAGCGTTAAAGTAAACCGAAATGTTTTCTAAACGGTCCTTTTCTACGAAGCTCTCGAAACGCAAAAAAAAATATTAACAAGATAGTAGTATATTTTACAAACGATTGTACTCATAGATTATTTTTATATACATTTTACCAATGTCAAAAAAAAAGAGAGAGAGAGAAGCAAAATAATGCTGTCAAAATGTATGAAACGAAACAAGATTATTGAGCATCTATTTTTTTATATCTGGAAAGATTTCCTTATAATTTGTGCACAACAAAACTTACGCATTGATTTTGATGGAAACGCGATCCATGTAGTTGTAAAGAAATCAGTGGTACTCGATGGTAAATAGTAATCATACATTTGTTTTTGTGTACATTACGTCATTGTGATTTTTCAATAAATGATCATATGGAAAATTAATTCCTGGTTTATAAAAAACTTCCTGATTCTAAAACATTCCAGAAATATTTGTATTGCTTCCAAAGGTATGCAATTATCTTCTTGACCTCTTTCAACAATAGGGTTTAAATTATGGCGAATAGAGAAATGAATACCAATACTGCATTGTGCTTTTATGCTTATTGCTTCATAATATTTTTAACTACAGCTTCGTAGCAATATTTGTGTGGTTATGTTGCGCGATGTTTTCTTCGTTTAAATATTCCCCAATGTTTAAAATGTACGGAGTTTGTAAATAATGATTTTCTATTTCGTCCGAAATAAATGTCCAACTTAGTATCAATAATATTTTTCTTTTAATATTACATCTTAAGTCTGTATATACAAGTCAGTTCTACCTTTCCGCATTTCTCAGAAATTTTTTACTTTCTACATAATTATTATTGCGTTAGCTAGCTATTTTTTTCTGAATTGTTTTAGTAATAAAATTAATAATTTACAAGATTGTACACACATACATACGGGGCAAGTCCCCGTCCATGTTACGACGCTCTATCATACGTTACATTGTACATATATAATGTAAAAATTTAATAAATAATCAAAGATTCCCGTTCTCGAGACCACTTTCGCGTTAAAAAATAAAAAGAAAATACAAACCGACTGCCGGCATCGGCAACGAATGAGATCTATCGATATTAAATCGTTAAATTGTCGAAAACGTTGGGCCAATTAAATTCCTTTACGATAGAAATCGTATAAGTATCAGTCGTCACGAAATTTCAAAATACTTTTTTGTGTTCGCAGAAAAAAAGCTATTCGAAACAAAGATTTCACTATATTTTGTAAATCCAACGGAAATACTTGGGATTTTGTGGTCATAGTGATATTCGTGGTATATTCTATTGTGTATTTACAATATATAATTAGATATTGCTCCTGTACGCTTACGTCGGAACAACAATTCAAATCGTTACGATACTATTCGACGACGATTGCAACTGTCCTTCGTTTCGTTTTTGAAAACGTTCAAAACTTAATCATCATTTGAGGTTAATTGTCGTCGAATGAGGTTAAAAATTAAATTTCTTTTCTGATTTTCTCACTTACCGAAATATTTGGGTCACCGAACTTTTCGTAATAAAATAATAGATAACTCGGCATCTATTTTACGCAAATAAAACAATAATTTGACGAACGCTTATTATTTTTCGTCCTCGAATAAAATTTGTTCGGCTGTTTAATCGATCGTCGATTACGCTCGTATTTGTCGACGAACGGGAGGCTTAAGTAAATTACGAGTTAAAAAAAAAAATAAAATAAAAAGAAGACGTCTCCTGACTAGAAACTTGCATGGTCGAGCTGCAGGAGCTGGAAGGAGTATTCAGTGGCAGTAGAAATCGCAGTATCGCTCCAGAACCTTTATAAAATTCACTCTAGCAGTTTCACGTTCGGTTCGGAGATAAAGGCACTCGCGAATGTTAATTAAAATTATTTTGCACACGGCAGAATCGTAAATTGAACTGTTCCACGCGTTCCAGCGAATGCATATTCCCGCTCCTTCAAAATATTCGTGAAGTTAAGGCACTTAGTGACTCGTTCGACGATTTTCGTTTCGATTGAATTCCACTGATCGATCCTCGATTTACGTTTCAATGATCATCCCCGTGCTGGAAGTGACCGTTCCTATTTAGAGGTTCCCTCTCCGGAGCGTCCGACGGTCTGTTCCTCTTAAAGAATCCGCACTAACGACAGAAACAATACGTATCGTTAATATTTAAGTTCCAAAATGGACGACATTTATTTCTTACGTGGGAATGTCAAACACGCGTCGTCGTTTTAAAAAAAATTTTCTTGAAAACAAAGTCTCGAATGTACAATTTTCATTTTATAGTTTTGATTAATTTTTTTATATAAAATCACCATGTTGGTGTATGTATTGTATGTATTACCGATTACCGGAAATCCTGCATAGGATGTTCGGCATCTAGACGAAAAAAATTGAATGGGAGATTCTAAGGGCCAAGATAAGACAGCAATCAGGAATCGTTAAGAAGTTATTAACGTTTCAAGATCTGTCTGTAGAACGGCTGCGAACAGCTGCAAATAGCTGCGATCAGCTGTGTGCGCGCAACAGGTTGAGGCAGGTCAGGGAAACATTTCTAACCTCACATTATATTTTCGGTTAGGAATTCTTTTTTCGAAAGTGCGTAGGAATTCGGGGATATGTCTATCCACGAAAAATGATTGTCATTATCCCCCGCAACCGAAAATAATTTTTCCAGAATGAATTGAAATTTTTTAATTTCGTCAAAAAATTTGTCCACCTTCCTGAATTTTTTTCTCGAAAATGCGTAGGATTTCGGAGGTATGTGTATTCACCAAAAACGATTGCAATTGACCCTCGCAATCAAAAATAATTTTTCTAGAATGATTTGAAATGATTACGGAGCTGTTCGCAGGTTGCCGTCTTACAGGCGGAACTTTTTTAAACGTTAATAACTTTCTAACAAAGCCTCAATTATCAAATCAATATTCTTGATTTTCGTCTTATTTTGCCCTCTAGAATCTCCCATAAAATTTTTTCCTGTATAGCTTGTATGTAATTTGCATAAACAAACCTTGTAAAGCAGGAAGATAAGCAGCAACAAAATGATCGTTCCGGCGCAGGCCGAGAGAACCACCACCCAAAATGGAATAACATCCGGCGCAGATGGTGTCACGTTCGGCTCAACGTTCGTTTTAATTTCGTGACTCTTGATCACCTGTTCGGCAGGTGTACCGATGAAAGGTTGCTTGGTAACTCGTGCTACCAACTTGGTAGAAACTCTGACCTTCTCCTGAACGGCCACCTTCTTCAGGGTTCTCGCGTCCACCCTGTACCTAGCACCCAACCAGACTTCCTGATCCTTTTTCAAAGGACCAACGACGCACCTGAGCATCACGCATTTCGCTGAATCGCAAGGACCGACTGGTCCCTGCGTCCTTGGGTCGTTTTCGTTATCTTTATCATCGAACACGCCCTCGTCCGTCGTAAAATCTTCATCCAGGTCTCTGGCGCGTCTCTGCAGTCTTTCGAACTTTTTAAACAGTTTCTTGTCGCCTGTATCCGAACTCGATCTATCGGTCGTCGTAACATCACCGAACGTTTCGCGATTCTCTCTTCCGTGGATACTGCTGGTAACCCTTTTGTCCTCCGTTCGTCTCTCTTCGTGAGTGCTGGTGTACGACGATTCGTATTCTCGTTCCAGGCCACCGGTCTGACCAGACTCTTCGTTCCATGAGTCACCGAAGTTGGTCTGACGAGACTCGGTGTAACTAAACGATCCTTGCAGCGGGAATCTGCGACCATCTTTCAAGACGATGAACCCTCTCCCGTTCGAATCTATCTGTAGCTCACCCTCTATCCTCAAGAACCGACTGTCCCGAGGCTCGGTGGACTCGGAGACGTAACTCTGGCCCCCGTATCGATCCTGAAGAGGGAACATGGAGCTATCCTGGAACTCTATGTACTCCTTTCTGTCGGCGGAGGTTCTGAATCTGCCCATGAACTGGACGTAGTTCTTGCCCTGTCTGTTGTACAGCTCGTAGCCGGTCGCCGACTTCGACAGAGATCCAAACAATCGTTCCAACTCTTGCGTAGAGCTTACATTACGCAGATTAAATCCAAATTCACCTTCTCTGACCGTTTCCTCCCGATCGCCCGTGACGAATCCACGATCAACGCCATAACGCGTCTCTTTCTCCGCTACCCTCCTTCGTGCCTCCTCTTCCAGTCGTACCCATTCCTCCCGCTGACGCTTTATTTCCTCCTCTAGTCTTCTTTGATAGGAGAGTCGCTCCTGTTCTTCTCGTTGTCGTTGCAGAACACGACGTTCCTCCTCTTGCAACCTGGTTTCCGAGTGATTCGCGCGAACCGTGTGCTGCTCGTCGATGCTCGAGATCCTCGAACCGAAGGTGGCGCCGTCGCTGGATCGGAAACCAGCTCCCAAAGTGTCCCCATAACCGCCAGATTCCGTGTGGATCAGCACACCCCTGTTGCCAACCGTAGAGTCATCTGTACCGATCGAACCTGTTCCAGAATTGTTTTGCGTGTACGTTGTGACCAACACATTTGGTTTTTCCCCCGTTGTTGATAATTGTATCTTCTTGGTGTTGCTGGTGACGACGGACGACGAGGAGGGTGGCCAGTGACGCGATTTCTGGATGCTCGAACTATCCCCGCTATTGATTTCGCTTTCTTCGTGTTGGACTTGCTTGTTCTTCTCCACGTCGAATCCGCTCTGCACATTGATCGTTTTACCTGATTGTGATTCGTCCAATGTTACTCCCGAGGGGTCCGAATGATGAGAATAGGATCTTCTTCGTTGTTCCAGCTGCAAAACGGTTGAACGGTTCTGTTATTGCGTAGATGATTCTAACTAATACGTATAATACATATACAATTTTTGCTTAAATTACAAGGCTATTTTTTAGTCGCATATTGTAGATTACTAACACAGCAAACAGTAAAGGAGAATTACTTGTTACAAAATTATATTTACAAGGTAACAGAAACTTTAGAGACCCAAAAGTCAGACGCGTTTTAGGTCTCTATGACGGCGTACCTTAAGGCTAAGATAGTTCGCGTTGGCAGTTTCACATGCGATAGGTCCAGACGTTTCCGGTTGCTCCAGAAGGTAGAGCAGTTCGTTTCCCCCCAGTGTCTGTGCCGGCCAAATGAGGAAGACCTCCGCCTCGATCACGTCAGAGGGACCCAGGTTGCGAATGGTGTAATTGTGCGTTACAGCAGGTCCAAAATCGATCTCCGTCGACGCGTTCGCGTCGCTGGTGTAATTGTCCGGATAGTAATAGAGATCCTTGGGTTTGCTCTCGCCGTCCACGCGTAGCTCGGTCTCGATCCAGATCGGTAGCCTCAGAGTGTACTTATTATCGTCGGTCGTGTACGGATTCTCGGGATTGGTGGTGTTCACGTCCATTTCGAAGGAATAGACAGGCTTCATCCCGTGAGAGGTGACCGGCTGCAACAGCACCTTAAACTTAACCAACCCGTGCTGCTGCAAAGGGTTGCCGATGTCGCAGCGAAGCGTGTTGTTGTTCGTTTGCTTGGGCGCGGAGCATTGAACGGGCACACCCATGGTCTCGATCTTCTCGACTTTTATGTAATCGATGCCAGTCGGTAGCTTCAAGTTGTACGTAGCTTCGAACGCGTCCTCCCCCATGTTCTGCACCATCACGTCCAGCTCTAGTCGCTTTCCAGAACCCAGCAGGTACCTTAGCACGTTCGACGACACGTTCATCTGCAGGTCTGGTATGCACACGTTGTCGGGGCCACAATTCTTCCTGATGGACAGAGAATCCTTCTTGGACGTCGTCGAGCCTAAAACTGGCCGCAGAGGCAACCTGGGGTCCCTGGGTCTGTTGTCCTCGTAGCGTTCCTCGTCGAGGCTCATTCGCATTTCGGCGTCCAGGGATGTTAGTTTGTCACGGATGTTGGACGTCACGTACACCTGTGGACGATGAATTTTTATTTATTTATTCAATAAACGGGAAGTCTCATTAGTATAGAATAGTTGTAGAACATGATAGTCAACAATTCTTCTAAATTCAAGTGTCAATAAATTAAGTTTGGTTGAAACCAAGGTATTTAGCATTTAAGAAACCTTGATTGTTTTCACTGACCTGAACCGTGCGACAGAACTGTCGATCCCGATCCACCATGATTGTGCGATTCAGCGTATTCCTGCCCTCGAGTTCCAAGAAGAACAACCTTGGATTCTTGGTTTTCTTCACGTCCAGGACGTACTGGATGTTGAAGTTGTGCTTGGCGAATACACCCTCGCCGGTGTACTTGAAACACGCCCTCAACGGGAAGCAGGTCACCCGGCTTCCGTCCGATAGCGTGCAATTCCTATCGTCCAACGAGATCAATTTCGATTCCTGATCGAAACTCACGTAAGAGTCCATCTTGATGACCGGCCGGGACCTGAATAGGATCGCTGTGCCGGACTCGTAGGCGCCCACCACCAAATCTGGATAGTGGTTCCCGTCGAGGTCGAGGCCACCGGCCACGGAGAACCCGAACGTATCCAACGGGACGCCGAGGTTCTCGGCGTAGATCACCTGAGAGTACTTTTCGAGGACTCCGTTGGAGGAACCGTGGTAGATGTAGACGGCACCGTGTCCACGTAGACCACCGTAAGGAGCACCCACGGCGAAATCGCCATAACCGTCACGGTCGATGTCCCCTAGTGCTGCCAGCGACAAACCGAATCGTCCGCGGTTGCTCTCCCCGTCTCTGGATAACGATAAGCAATTATCGCGAGAGTTCAACGATCCGTGCGTTCGGATGCTGTGCGACCCTTGCAGCCGCTTTCAATGGGCTTTTAGGCTCGACAGTTAATAGGCGAAGACACCTTCGTTGACATAAGCAGCGTTGGGCAATAACACTGGTCAACAAATTGTAAACGACAGTTTATACTCTTCACGATTAAGCTATCTTTATTAAGCTAAAAGTAGATTAAAGTGTACGTACGTTAAAATAAACAACATTTGTTATTTATTTAGCCTGTTACGAGATATCGCGCTGTTAATAATAATATCGACTTTATTATACCGTGCTAATTATACGCTTTCCGTAATAACAAGCTGGGTTTTAATAACAGCCTAGTAGCTGCACCTTGCGTGTTGCGCAATAATAAGTGGCGTAAGATTATCTTTATTCGGAATATAAAAAGTCTTGAACTTTAATCGAAAAATATTGATAAAGCTTGTTTGCTTTTGGCGATCGTCGACAAATGAATATACCAGCTGTTTAAAGAGTAATTTTTTTCGTAACGAACGTGCGTTTTTGTCAAGTGATGAAGACGTTAAATAAAATAAAGAACAAATAAAAACTGTCACGAAGGAAGCAATCTATGTAATGGTGACTGGATGAGGTTCGTAGCTGTTGTAAAACCTAGCCCTTAACGAAGGAACCGTGATAAAAATAATCGCTAATTAATTAAACCTCGCTGATAGACTCGTAATGATAAACTTGGCGTTTGGAATTTCTTTAAATAGTCATGAAATATACCTAAAGTCGATTTTCCGGTATTTTTCAGGTCCAGCGCCCTGATAGATCACGTACACCCTTCCGGTCTCGATGGTCATTTCCGGGTTATCTGGCACTGTATACATTGGCGCGCCGACTATGAGATCATCTAAACCGTCGCCATCAATATCACCGGAAGCAACAGCATAACCGAAGTAAGCTCCCATTTGTTCCCCAGTAATGTTACGTGGATTCGTCATGTTCGATGTAAATAGGATAACCTGCAATTAGATTTCTTCTATAAATCGGTGCACAAACATTTTTTAATAGATCTTCGTTTAATACTTGTATTCGATATATTTAAGCCGTTTATTTTGAAAGTGGCCTAACTTCATTTTTCAATTTTTTCCGGTTACCATGGTTACATGTACAACTTCATGTTATTTATCAGTAAAGCATTTCAGGTTGCTTATATTCCGAGCAAATACGATAATTCTTGACACATAAGTTTTCAGAGTTAGTTCAATAATTGAACCGTGTAGTTTCAAAGTGGCCGAACTCCATTTATACTTAAATCAAGATATTTACTATTGATAATGTCGGAAAGTAGTGATGAAGGTAATTTTAATTAATTAGTATTTACAAGTTAACCTCAGTTTTTGGACTATTGCGTTAGTTGAATAACCAGTACGTTTAATTAATAAAAAACTTAAAATTTAATATTAAATTTTAGAAATTATTTCACCCATGGGGAAGAACAGAACAAGACTATTTAGTTCAGATAGTGAAGAAGAAATAGTAACTAATGATTTAAAAAAAAATCGAAAAAGAAACAGAATTATAGAACAAAAACCTAACTGCATACTATCTAACTAACTGGGAAACTAACTAACTAACTGACAAACTAACTAATTATCTGCAAACTAACTAACTAACTGCAGACAGAACAAAAAACTAGTTAAAAATATGTTGGATGCGTTTTGTCAGAAATGAACCGTATAAAATTTTCTATAAGACATCAATGAATGAGAATGAAAATTTTAAAGTCCTGAATTTATTACCACGTCGGGATAGACCAAGAAAGTTCGAAAATATTGTATAAAAATATCAGACAAATTACAACAGCAAAATTCAAGGACATAACTGACCTATTACGATATATGTATACCACCGGAACATCATGATTTCTTCAAATCCCTTTCACACGCACAAAATGTAGATGAGTAGTAAATTGTTTTGTAATAAATTTATGTTTGTAATTTTGTACGTTATGTAGTTAAAAAATGTTTTCAATCGCATAAATTATGTTTCCGAAGTGTTTTAAAGATATGTAAAATAAATTCAGTATTGTTTTTGTTCGATTTGAAGCATCTTAAATTATGTTGAATGGACTTGGGCACCTTCAAATTTTATAATGAATCTGGTTGTTAATTTTGAAAGTGGCCTAACTCCATTCTTGATAAGAAAACGCATATTATTCACTTAATAATTGCCACTATTTTAATAGGAACTATAAATTTAACACCCTTAGATACACTTAAGCAGTATGACTCATTAGTATCCTATACGTATATTTTTAAATTCATTGAAACGCAAACCCTTAAGTATCTCGATTTGAAGATAAATGGACTTAGGCCACTTTCAAAATAAACGGCTCATTTATTGGTTCATACAAAATTTCTACCGATCGAAAGGGTCAATGACTTTTAATCGATGCAAATATATTTTTTAATAGGTCCATAAAAAATTTATGGCGATCGAAAGGGTCGATGACTTTTAAAGACCCCTTCGACGGGCGATTTAGACGATTAAATTCTAAAGAAATCGTTAGTCAAGTTATTCCTCGATAACGTGTTGCGCCCGACGCGTCTATCATTCGTCTTACTTTTTCAAGTTACTACAAATGGACCGACCCGATCGTCGAGCTACAATCTTTTTCCCGATAAAGCGATAAATTTTCACCGGACGGGTTACTTTCACCAGCAGGAATTAATTTCAATCGCGCGTTCCTTCTTTCCGTCGCAATTACGTGTTAATATTTCATGAGCATACTTTGCCAAGAAGGTCGCCGCCGCGTGGTACACCAACAGCAGTGCCGCTGTCGCCATTTCCAATAAAATCCCCGGTCGTGACGGAATAACCCATGTAGCTATCGTCCTCCGTGGCCGGCCCTTCCTTCGTGAACAATATTTTCGCACGATTCTTCAACGACTGTGAAAACGCTTGGCCTGTAAAAGCAGCCATCGATGAAATCGACCAACTCGTAAGCAACTTCTTCAAAAGAACACATACTTTCCCAAAAACGTTCTCGTTCTTGACTACGACCGAAAAAAACTCCTAAACACAACTCATGGAATTGCAATGCCAAACACAAACAAACATTGTAGGTGCACAGGATCGTCCCAAGAACAAGTATACAAAAGATTTGCGAGCTTATTAAACTAGTTTCGAGCATCGAGTAATGTCTTGGAAATTCGAGTTTTTAAAACGTCACATGCAAATTTAGAATAGGTATATAAACGATAGAAGATCGAATAAAAACAATATTTATCTTATAAAGATTATTACAAAGAGTTTTCGTACAGAAATCTTGTCAGACCTACTTACAAAACTATACTGCTCGAAAAGTGTTTATAATCGGACGAGAAACGTTCTAGATACGATAGTAAAATCCTCGATGCTTGTAAAATAAGCTCCCAAAGTTTGCCTAGATATTTTTGGGATACCATGCGCAACAAATTCATGCTAGTGTACAAAATGTCTAACAAGTAGGTTGTAGCGTACAAAATATCCTATCGAACGGAATCGTTCACGTACAATGCAGGTAATAATTTTGTCTCGTTGAAAAAAAAAAAAAGATTAATAGAGGTGAGTCAGAAAACGTTGAATCGAAGGCGTATGGTTTTTATCGTTCACATCCTAGCGGGATTCTTTAATTGGCTAGCGACACAGTAACGATAAATGTATCCTGCATGACAAACCGATGGCCAATGCATCAATACGTGGACATTGATGAATCTTCGAGACCTATGGTGAAACCAAGTTTGTCACGGTGTCTGGTGGTCCAATCCCGATGCGATTCACGATTCCTTCTCGCGATGAATCGTGTCATCCTCCTGGCGAGTTTCAGCTAGCCAAGACCTTTTACGAAGACGGTGAAAAAAGCTTGCGATCGGTTAACGCAAGATGTACGATTTAATTAAAATTTACTTAAAAATCGGACATTTCATACGGCTACAACCTGCTACGGTACCATCGATGGGTAGAAAATAAAAATCGAAATCGCAGTCAGGAGAAACGCTCGGGAAAAGAACACAAGTGTAAATCGTAAGCCGTTTAACATTATTATTAATCTAGCTTCTAAGCAATTCTATTCGCAAGGGCGGCGATATTACTCCGTTCGCTAAATAGCAGTAGACTAAATAGCAGCGTTGAAATGGCCTGTGAAGTCGATTAGAGAGACGAAGCTGTAAAAAGCAGGCCCTCAACCGTTAGATATTGCCACCCTCGGCTCACCTGACGGTAATTAATAAATAATAATAGCACACGGTACATTAATCGTAAATCGGATATTAATCACTCGATGGGAGTGGCACGACGGCGTTACGAGACCTCAAACTGTCAAGCATACAAGATTACTTCGCGGTAATTGCGAATCTGACCCGATGCACCGAACAAAAGTGTTCGCCTTTACGTATCCGCTCGTTTTCGCGACCGCTCTTCAGCGTGACAGTTCTGCGCAGTTTCGATCGAAATTATTAATCACAGGCGTCTTGTTAATGTCGCGGTGAAATCTTATGAGTGGAAAAGCCGGATGACCGATTGGCGTTACGAGTAATTAATGGAAATTAATTGGGGCCACTGGCAAGCAAGTGTGAACGCGCGGAGATCGTGATTACTGGTGTCTCGTTGCTTTTCGACAAATTTCGAACACTCACGTCCACGCAACCATCGTCAAAACAAACTTTACACTCGCCACTTCGTCCGGGATAATAAATAATTAATTTGGTACATCGTACCACCCCAAACGAAGCACGATTATAGACGTTCAGATAAATTTTTATTCGAATAATTGTTGTTCCGTATTCACGATCAAAAATAAAATTCGTCCAACTTTGCAACGACGAAGGCTGCGAATCTTTGTCGACTCTGATGGACGCCGAGATCGTTTTTTTTTCTCCAGCGAACGTTCAAGCAACACTTGTTAATGGGAATCGTCGTTAAGAGAATAGCAGCTGATTAGAGGTTTTAAAGGGGCTGGTTTCGGTCGACGACGTTGATTGGTTCGTTTGATTAAGGTCGCCTGCAAATACGCGGTACCTGATCCATCTGCTTCGGGGGTGAACAACGTCGTCGCTACGAACTGCAACCTGATATCGGTGCTGATCGAGTATATCTGACCTGTAATTGTTTAACGAGAGTCTCCTCTGAGTCATTCTAACATTCACAGAACTCGAGGTAGTCGCGGTGAAACCCGGTCGTCGCTCCATCGCCCAGGCATTATCAAAAGCTCGAACTTTCGCCTTTTTTATTAGTGGAAAAGTGGCTTCTCGCCGACCAGTACAGCAAAAGGGGGAAGAGGGGGTAGATTTAAATGCAATTCTAATTCGATTGAAAATTTAGGTAAGCCCAATTATTTCAGAGAGAAGTTAGAGATCGTTGGAATCTTAATTTTGACTATTATGTGGATCTACCACAGTAATTAGTATTAACCCCTTATTACTATAGTAATAATAGTGATTCTAGATATTCGTTCGTTTTAACTAAAATTAGCGCTCCCGAGAGAAAAGTGTTGCAATTGTGAAAATGGGACGATCGTCGGACTTGATATTGATATCTTACGCTGAAATAATTTCGCAATTTTCTTTTGTCTTTGTGCGTTACAATTTACTGCTTTCCTTTCAAATTTGACCACTTTTCTCGCTGGGTGTGCCTTACAGTGTGATTCTAGAGATTTGAACGAACTACAGCTTTTAAATAAATGATAATAGAAAAATGGCTATGTTTGGTGAATCTATGTTTAGAAAAAAACTATAGTTTCTAGAATCACTGTGTATAAATTATGGGCAAAAATTTATTTGAATAACAAACGACAAGTGTAATAGTAATTCACTCGTAACCAACGAGTACACTTTTCATCGTATAACGAATTTAAGTAACATTTGTCGTAACACTGTGATTATATATTATTTCCAGGTATTATACAGAGTGTTCGACCACTCCTGGAAAAAATTGTAATGGGAGATTCTGGAGACCAAAATAAGACGAAAATCAAGAATTTCAATTTCTTGACTGAGGCTTTGCTAATAAGTTAGTAAGTTATTAAAAAATTAAATTAAAAAATTTCAAATCATTCTGAAAAAATTATTTTCGGTTGCGGGGGTCAATCGCATTCATTTTTAGTGAACAGACATACCCCCGAAAACCCGCGCATTTTCGAGAGAAAAATTCAGTACGGGCGGAACTTTAAACGTTAATAACTTTTTAACGAAGCCTCGATCAACAAATTGGTATTCTTGACTTTCGTCCTATTTTGACCTCTAGAATCTCCCATTAAAATTTTTCCCAGGGGTGGCCGAACACCCTGTATTCTCTCATATACACGTTGAACACGAATAAAATTTAAATCAATGCAACAACGTGTCTCTGTAATATTAATATTCGATATTCGAAGAGAATATTTGTAAAAGTTTCGACTGGAAAATTTGGCACTCGATCGACCAAACGTCGACACGCGACTGATATACACACAAGGTATCGAGTTTTAAGGTAGCTCTGATTGTAAAACTGTGACCTAGATCGAACTTCGTAGCCAAGTGAATCGATAAAGAATTTTACCTTGCCAGTACCAACTTCCTGGTGCCCCGATGAAGAGCCTCTCACCGTTCTGTAACAAATAAAGAGGTGTGCCGTTAAGGGAATTTGTCGATGTCAAGTAACTAACGGTAGGAAGCACTTTAGCTGATTTAGTCCTTTTTATCAACGAAATTCATTCAATTTCTCTGAATCGAACGCAATGGTTCTTCAAATTCCCCCGATCGTTAGCATATCTGAAACTTCAACCGTGGAAGCTACAAACGCTTCATTAATCGACGACACATACCACGATAAGTTACATAGGAATCAGTACCAGATCAGCTCGACAATCGGTAAATAATTAATTTACGTTTCGATAGAACGAACCACTCTGCATTTCGTTTCTTAACACTAAACCTACCATGCACGGTCAAATGACCGTTTTTGAAATTTCGTTTAGAATTTCTCGTATACAACGTTACTGTATCACCATGTAGCTTATTGACTTTTCCTATAATATACATACAACCCATTTTTCAATATTCACAACTTTCTTTATTGTTTATTTTCCGAAAAAAATTTATAGCATGTCTAGTCTACCACGAACGGTCATTTGACCATTTGAAAAATTCATGTTATTTACGACTATATTCTTCGGAAAGCGCACTCCTGAAATTGTTTTACGAGTCTACTAGGTAATTGTGGATCTATAGTGTAGACAAACGCGCGATTGGAACAAATGCACAGCGTTCTTCATACGACAATACGGTCTTGCGATCCGAACAGAGAGCATCAAAATTTCAAAGTGTATTATAGAAATTATTACGTGGTATAAGTGATAGTTTCGACAAAGTCAACAGAGCTAACAATATTTTGTGGTATGATTTACAATTTTTTTTTATTTCTGGTCTCAATGTTTTTGCCCCGTTTGATTTATATTTTTATATTTTAGTTTTTACTTTTTACTTTATCATTTGTATATTCATACCCAAAAATGTCAAGACATTCGAGGAATATCAATTTATTAGACAAAATAAATAATATCGACGAGGATTGTTCTTAAGATGACCAAGAAGTTTCCGATTTTGATGATGATACAGCAGAAAATAATTGTGACTTATTTGACAGCGATACGGACGAAGAGAATATTTTGAATATACAAAGAGGACAAAAAAGAAAGAGATTTATAGTTAGTTCCGAAAGTGAAAATGAGGAAGGAATTGAAACTGCTATGGACGGAACTGTTTGGCAAAAAATAAAAGAAGGGTCTAATCGCGGAAGAGCACCGATTTATAATATTTTCAAGGAAATTTTTTGAAGCGGTCATTTGAGCGCTCATGGTAGGATTATGTATACATGAAATGTCGGTAGGTTTAGTGTTAAACTAACGTCCACTGTTCGTAGACGCTCGAAGGAAACAAACGATCGAAACTTCCTACATCGTTTGTAGGAATTCTCGAGTAGAAGCACAGTGCAAAGTAATAGAACAACAAGCACGATTATCGAACCGCCATTTTTCGTAGCCGCTGGCAATGCAACTAGGAAACGGACGCACCCACGAAGGATCAAATTTTTTATTTAATTCGCGAGATAATGGCGATACGAGAGCCCGATACGCGATAAATCAGTCGCTCGTACACATATACGGTGGTTCGCGCGTACACAGAATCGCGTCACGCATGTTAAATGTGTCTTGCTTGTGGCCTTCGCGATAGAGGCTTCTTGGTACGCGACGATCTCCGCGTGCTCGCGGAAAAATCGCCCGATCGGCTGCTGGGATCCCTTCGAACGTGTACAGAGAACCACTTTGACCGTTCTGGAAAGAATCGCTGGCACGCGGTTGCGACTTCGCAACCGGGAACTCAGAATTCAACGTACGAAATGTTACATTTCGAGGTTCTTATGAAAGCACTTGCTATTTTCGTTAACTCTCAAAACCATGATTTTATTTTGGATTCAAAATGGGTAAACAAATCGATCGAAGTTATTTTGTTAATCCATTGCAAAGACAAATGTATCCTAGCGACGTTAAAATGTTGCAAGATTAACTACTACATCGATAAGGAGCTAACAAAAATTAATTCTGAATATTAGATCGCCAACTCTAGAACTACCAAAGCAGTCAAAATGGCCTATTCGTAATTCCCAATCAAAATTGTTACAAATTTATTCTATAGGATTTTTACTGTGGTTTTCTATAAGAAAATGAATGAACACTTATGTCCATTGCATTATACATTTCTTCGCGTATCTATCGTTTTAATTTCTTTGGTACAACAAAATACACTATAATTGTAGTTCTAGTGTTAAAGAAAATAAATCTAAATAGAAGTCTTCAATTTGAACGGGACTGTAAATAAATAAGTTCTATGACAAACTGTGAGTAATTTGTCTAAAAACAAAGTTTCGTTGAGTTGTCGTCGATGCAAAATAGAACCGTGGCTGTTTTCCGTGCAAAAGTTCACGGTGATCGGCAGATGTTATTTTAAACTTCGTGAAAAGTTAATGCAAAGACAAGTGGTTGCGATCGAAGAGCAATAGATCCAGCGTAACGCTGGACCGGCTTGAATGCGTTACGGTGTCGTAACGTTCGGCGCCCCGCGATAAAACAACACACTTCAGCCCCACGTTCGCACACCAACGGGTCTCCGATGCTCGACTGCACTTAATCGGTGCATGAACCACTCGAGTGCCACTCGAAATCATCGACATACCTATCGCGGTTGAACCTACGTATCGGTTGTTCCCATGCATGGCGCGTTGATACTTTCACGCAGGTTTTACGCGTCTGACGCGTGCAGACCTATACTACTTACGATCGTGCGACGCGTGAGAAAAATTATAACCGTGCGCTTAATAAGCTCGAATTACGATACTTCGTATCAGGTGCGTGCACAAGTTTCGTTAGTCTCTCCATAGACGTTTGCATCGATACCGTTTCGTTTCAAACAATAGGCAATCTATTAAAATTCTTTACGCGTTTGGCAACGAACGTCAGCTGTTGTTTACAATCGACAGTAGCTGCATCGAGTCGACGACTTTGTTGAAAATTAATATTAACAGCTCTATCATTTATGTGTTATAATTAGACTATGGATCTTTATGCAAATTCATATTTTTATTAATCCCTTGACGTACGATACAATTCCAAATAATTTTTCAATCGTATACTATTTTTTACGAATACCTCGTGAATATAAAAATGTGTTGATTTTAACATAAAGGGTGTTCGGCCACCCCTGGGAAAAATTTTAATGAGAGATTCTAGAAGGCTAAAATAATACGAAAATCAAGAATATCAATTTCTTGATCGAGGCTTCGTTAAAAAGTTATTAAGAAATGAAATTAAAAAATTCCAAATCATTCACGGAAAAATTATTTTCGGTTGCAGGGGTCAGTTGCGATCATTTTTGGTGAATAGACATACCCCCGAATGCCTACCCACTTTCGAGAAATAAATTCGGGAAGGTGTGAAATTTTTCGACAAAAAAAACAACTTTCAAATCGTTCTGGAAAAATTATTTTCAGTTGCAAGGGTCAATTACAATCATTTTTTGTCATACCCTCGAATTCCTAACCATTTGCGAGAAAAAAATTCCTTACCGATAAGATAATTTCGGGCCAGAAATGTCACTCCAAAATTTCGTGCGTATCTTTAAAACGTCATAACTTCCGAACGGATAGAAGAATTTGAATGATTAAAAAGACAAATAACGCATATTTTAGTGAAGAATATGTAAAAATTTTAACAATAATGAAAAAGTTGTTCCTTGACCCCGTAAAGTGAGAAAAACCACATAAAAATGGTCCAATTTTCAAACAGCCATAACTCCTGCAATAGTGAATATATTTCAATGCAACTTTTTTCTGAAACAGAGCTCATGGGTACCTGCAAACAAGTATTAGATCACTTTTCTATAGAGCGTCAAACAAAATTACTAAAAATCAAAAACGAATTTCTAAGAAAAATCGAAGGTGCCTAAATTTTTCGATGAAATTGAAAAGTTTAAAATTTTTCTGGAAAAATTATTTTCGGGGGGGGGGGGTAATTACAATCATCTTTGGTGAATAGACATTTCCCCGAAATCCTACGTACTTTCGAGAAAAAAATTCTTTACCGAAAATATACTGTGTGGCCGGAAATGTTTCTATAACTTTTAAACGGAGCCTCAGTCAACAAATTAGTATACTTGATTTTCATCTCATTTTGGCCTCTAGAATCTCTCATTAAAATATTTCCCAGTGGTGACCGAACACCCTGTACATATAAGACTGTTTAGTCTTACATGATTGTGAAACTTGACATGAAGAACTTCAGACTCGTCATTGTACGACAAGGGGTTAACAGAATTAATGAAATGGGAGCTTCGTAGAGGGTTGTCTCAACCCCTAAATACAATAACTCGTATTTTACGTATTTCTTATAGTTTTGCATATCAAGTGCATTGTGTAATTTGTTGAGAGTTAAAATGTCCCATAAATGCATAAATATATTTAGTTATAACGATGTGTACGAGTCTATGTATTTGTCCTGTAGTTCGTAAACTCTGCTGCATATCTAGTCTTATTAATCGCGGGTTTAAAAATAGAAACCAAGGTAACGATTGTTCAAAGTTATCTCGCGTGTTTACTCAAAGTACCACTCTTGTTATTGAAACTTAATATTCTCTCGAACGTCTCGGTACGAGCGTGGGTCTCGTTAACAGTGTATTTACCATGGTCGACGCAGAGTCGAGTTCCTTGCACGCGATGCGTTTACGTTTTACACGGCGTAACGGTAAGCCTCCTACAGCCTTATCTAACGGCGATGCAACAGTAGTAAAGATTATGTCTCGCATACATATTAATCAACGGTCTACATGAATGATCGCAAGAAGCTGAATGCGCGGCCGCGATTCACGATAAATTCATGTAATATGAATGAGACTGAGCCGGCCATACAGGCAGAAAAACGACTTTTTCGAAAGCAGAAAAATACACCCGGACGTGTTTCATACGTGACATATATTTACAACCATCAGATTTATTTTTCACTATCGAAACCACTGTCAACTTATATATTTTATCTGATAGACATTTGGTATTTTACTG